AATCCTTCAGACACATATCCCTCCCCAGACACATTTAAATGTCCTTCAATCCTTCAGACACATTTCCCCTCTTCTCCAGACACATTTTAATGCCCTTCAATCCTTCTGACTCATTTCCCCTCCCCAAACACATTTTAATGTCCTTCAATCCTTCTGACACATTTCCCCTACCCAGACACATTTTAATGTCCTTCAATCCTTCAGACTCATTTCCCCTCCCCAGACACATTTTAATGTCCTTCAATCCTTCAGACTCATTTCCCCTCTCCTCCCCGGACACATTTTAATGTCCTTCAATCCTTCTGACACATTTCCCCTCATCAGACACATTTTAATGTCCTTCAATCCTTCAGACTCATTTCCCCTCTCCTCCCCAGACACATTTTAATGTCCTTCAATCCTTCAGACTCATTTCCCCTCTCCTCCCCAGACACATTTTAATGTCCTTCAATCCTTCTGACACATTTCCCCTCCCCAGACACATTTTAATGTCCTTCAATCCTTTAGACACATTTTCCCCCACCTCCCCAGACACATTTTAATGTCCTTCAATCCTTCAGACACATTTCCCCTCCCCAGACACATTTTAATGTCCTTCAATCCTTCACACACATTTCCCCTCCCCAGACACATTTTAATGTCCTTCAATCCTTTAGACACATTTTCCCTCACCTCCCCAGAGATCCTCTGACCCGTTAGACTTGCTTCTTCCCTCCTTCCACATTTTATAACTGTATATTAGTACTATTCAGACTAATACCTCCTCCTATACAGATGTAGTTTACTTGATGTCTATCCTGTAAATAAGACCACTGAGCTAACAAATTACTTGTCATTCGGAGTTAGGGGGTGGGCTTATGACAGGACAATAAGATAATATAATATCAACAACTTTACTTCACAACAATATATATGGTCCACTTACTACCAGGCATGGGCTTAATGCCACATAAATACAGCAATTCTGGTAACTTAAAAAATGTGATAGATTAAATCCACCATCTCTCATACGATGAAGTTGCTTTCTGTTCAATTTTTAAATCACTATTTTAAAGAACATTAACTTAATCCACTGGCCTATGTGTTCAAAAAACATAAAATGTGACCTACATTTAACATTTTCATTGAGAAAGACAGTTAATCGACTTTTAATGAAAAAAGTTAATTTCATAAACTACTCAAAAGACTAATAGCCAATACTGAGCACCGAGGCCGGCTGATTACCCCCTAACTGGATAAAGAGCGAATGTCCTTCACATGGGTTAGTAGACCGGAAACAGTCAACCCATTCATAAAAGCTATCTACAGCCAACTGTCGATAATTAATCACAGCCCTTTAATACAAAATTTGTGGTGAGGACAAATGATATTTTGACAGGTATGAGTCGGCTGTTCACCAGGTGTCATCAGTAACCTCCATCGCATCAGTCTGTATAGCTTCAGTGATGTCACATCGAAATACTGCATCTGAAGATCTCATTCTCCAGACACAGATATAAAAAATCGACAGAAATCTTATATCTTTAACCCTAAATAATGTCTTTCTAAACATCTTCTCTTGCGTTGGTTTAAATGAATTAAGAACCTGCTATTGTAAGAGTGAGACTAACAAAGCCTCCACACCTGGTCGACATACACAAGACATACCTCTATGTATATGTGACAGGAAATATCAAATTCCATACAACAGCCTGATAGCTGTAGTCACAAACCCAACAAAGGCCCCAATATCACATTACATCTCCACAAATCAACTACACCCCTACTATTACTATTGTACACTTAGGCACCTGTAGTTAACGACTTTTTTGTCCCAAGTAAGATCAGTACATTTGCACCTGTATACTAGGACACCTGTATACAACAGAATTTGTATCCTTTCTACCTTACATTATGTAGAAAAAAACTGTATACTTAGACACCTGAGTTAACAAGGCATACCAGCTCATCCCTAGTGATACCTACCTTTAAAAGAGGTCATCTATAAAGTTGAAATACCTATACAACTGGTCATCTGTGAAGTTGAAATACCTGTACAACTGGAAACCTGTAGAGTTGATATACCTAAACAAATAAACACCTGTATGGGTGAAATAACTTTACAATTGGTCACCTGTGAAGTTGAAATAGCTGTACAACTGGTCACCCGTACAGTTGAAATACCTGTACAACTGGAAACCTGTAGAGTTGATATACCTAAATGAATAGACAACTGTATGGCTGAAATACCTGTACAACTGGTCACCTGATATCTGTAGAGCTGGACTCTTATAAAGCCTAAGTATCTGTAGAGCTGGACTCTTATAAAGCCTAAGTATCTGTAGAGCTGGACTCTTATAAAGCCTAAGTATCTGTAGAGCTGGACACCTATGTATTTGAAAATTTGATATTTTTGTACAACTGGATCCCACAATATACATACCTGTTCTTTACAGTTAAATCTAAAATATTTCTCATTATGGACCCTAGTGCTCATGGATACCAGTGAATGATAGTTTCAGGGAGGAGGCAACACATTACATCTTAAAATTATGGGGAGGGGGCAACCCATTTTATCTCAAAGTCAGGAGGAGAGGGCAACACATTACATCTCAAAGTCAGGGGGAGGGGGCAACACATTACATCTCAAAGTCAGGAGGAGAGGGCAACCCATTACATCTCAAAATCAGGGGGAGAGGGCAACACATTACATCTCAAAGTCAGGGGGAGAGGGCAACACATTACATCTCAAAGTCAGGAGGAGAGGGCAACACATTACATCTCAAAGTCAGGGGAAGAGGGCAACACATTACATATCAATATCAGGGGAAGAGGGCAACACATTACATATCAAAGTCAGGGGAGAGGACAACACATTACATATCAACATCAGGGGAGAGGACAACACATTACTTATCAACATCAGGGGAGAGGACAACCCATTTCTTATCAATATCAGGGGAAGAGGGCAACTCATTTCTTATCAATATCAGGGGAGAGGACAACACATTACATATCAAAGTCAGGGGAGAGGACAACACATTACATCTCAACATCAGGTGAGAGGGCAACACATTACATATCAACATCAGGGGGAGAGGGCAACACATACTTATCAATATCAGGGGAGAGGGCAACAGATTACATATCAATATCAGGGGAGAGGGCAACACATTTCTTATCAATATCAGGGAGACAGGGCAACAGATTACATCTGTAATCTAGGGTTTCAACATTAAAACTATTATCAATGATGTGAACTTTAATCTTGCTATATATAGTTCATTCTATTGACAGGAAACAATAAAGAAAATTCAATTAGGTATGAAAACCAGGATGAGAATGTCTACCGTATAAAGTTTGTGGCCCTTTACATGATTTGTTAATGACATAGTTACCAGTGTATACTTCCTAATTGTGTGAATTTCCTTTAAACAATCACCATCCCACACATTTCATTACTTACATAGTTTTAAAATTTTGAAATATCACTTGAAGAGCCATTCCTTAAAAAACACCTTTACATAAGGGCTGTACTTTCAGATTGTAAAGATAACATAGACAAGACAATACCATTAATAGCCTGCCTAGATAAAGACCTGTGCTCCCTTTGGTAAAAAAAAACTGCAACATCATGGACCTATTATATAAATTGTGTCTGTAATTCATTACAACAAGAGAAAAATAAGTATTGTGGTTTGAACTGAAAACATCTTCCTTTCATTATTAGGTAAATACATCCTCAGTTTGTGGTTTGTATGTTTATATGTATTGAAAAGATATTTTATTTGGAAAAGTTGAAAGACACAAAAACCCAAACATTTGTGTATCAGAAGTTTGTGGTTTGGGGTTACGACTAGCCTAGTGAAGTTATCACCGTCAAGTGTCAAGGTCTGTTGGTTTTGTACTTCAATGTAATATTTCTCCGCTTACATCAATATAACACAGACAAAAAGTATACAAGTTTTGTCTTTTTTTAACGTATTTGTTACTATACTAAATATCAGCAACACGATAATCCCTGACAATTTTCGTTTCGTATTTAGCCAGGTCTGTATGTGGGACAAACCACAGGCTACAAACAGAGGTGCAGTCTTTTAGACTGACACAGATCAGAATAAAGAAAATTAACCTTCCTTTTTTAAAAGCCGTTTTTTCACTTCGTCATGACAGTCAAGTGCTTCTATTAGTGCAGGTGTGTCAATGCTATTTTTCATTTCAGTCATGAACAGGCCGAAACTATTTTTTTTCTAATTGCAGATAAATGGCAGCTATGAGTATGCATTTGAATCCCAGCCACCCATAATCTTGTATATTTTTTTTTAAACTACGATGTGTGTTTTTACAGTAATTAGGGGAACTGGGTTTTCTTCTCAATCCAAGAAAGTAGTTATCTGGTATATATCATGGTGTTGTATCTTAATTCTGTGAAATTATCATTTTTTAAGTTTTTTTTTTTATTTTCATTTTATGGGTGGCTCTGTTCTTAATTTTACAATTCATATGTCCATGAAATGATTAACAGCTGAAAATTGACATGAATTATATTTAGTTCAGTCCATTCAGGACTACAGTGATTTATCAAGAATCAACAAAATTGTAATTTTTGAAAAAAAATGAAAATCTTCAACAAAAGTTTCATGAAACTTCATGTAAAACACTTTTTATCACATAATTCATAAAACAAAAGATAGACGATGGAGACTCCACATCAGAATACTGTGGTTTAATTCTTATTTTCATGTTTTAATCCTATTTTCATAACTCAGAAAAGTTTCATTTTGACAGGTTTTGTAAACAGAGGCAGTCATCTTGTTGTGCCATTTTCAATTTATGATGCAGGAAAAGCACTCCAGGGTATATAACATAAGTGAATATGCAAAAATAATACAGCTTCAAAACACACAGATCTAATCTGAACTAAAGTGTTCATTGTTGAAAACAGACATTTGTGAAAACATCGAAACAACAGGGAGAGCAACACACCTTCAAATCAAGAAAAGCAGTTTGTCCAATCTTACCTTGTAATACTCGGTTTCATCCTGGTTCTTGGCAACGTAGAGAGGTAGCCCAGCGATGGCTTTCTCCATATCCTTGGCTATGATCTTCACTCCCTGGGCAGCTAGGACCTCCTTATGATGTTCCCACTGACTCTGTGACACAGTTGATGTAAAAATTGACAATCTTTTATACAGAAAGCAATCTTTCCCTGGTACTTACACACTACAAGTGTGATCACTCTAGAGAAATACTACCAATATCAGGTTTGGTATCAAAATGAGATCTGTTTCTACTTTCAACTTTATCTTTCTGTGTAATATTTGTTTTCTTTCCAGAAAAAAAGTTTCTTCTTTTAGATATCTTTAACCAGTTTCATAGAGGTTCAGGATTACACATTAAAAAGGCAATGCAGACAATGCCAGTCAGCCTGCCGTTCCACCTTGGTTTAGATGGAAGATGACCAATAGTGTAAACTCTATCAAAATCCGTCAAGGAATGAAACAAAAGTGCTAAAACCAGTACAGGTGACCTTGATCTGCCACGGATCCTTTATAAGAATGTGAATTTTGATCAAAATCCCACGAGTAATGAAGCCACTAGAAAGCTTTGAGGGACTGTTTCAAAATAGGAGCAGGGACTATAAAAACCTGAAACTTAAACATATCAAAGACAATATGGTCCTTTGAAAGCATGTAGAGTTGAAAATCCTACAAGAAATAAAACAAGAGGCCCATGGGCCTTAACGATCATCTAACATAAAATAAAAGATTTCAAATTTTGAACTTGAGAAGAAGTCGAAAATGTGTTTTCAAGATGGCGGCCATGTTGAAATTTGGACCAACCTGAAATTAACAAACTTTGGTCAGGATCATGTCACAATCATTTCAGGTAAGTTTCAGTTCAATGAGACATGTACAACTTGAGAAGAAGTTGAAAATGTTTACGCCGGACGATGCTGGACAAAAGGCGATCGCAATAGGTCATCAGACCTTTCGGTCAGATGACCTTAAAAGCTAGAGCACTGCCAATGAGTTTCTATAAATAGTACCAATGACCTTCACCCTGACAAAAATAAGTATTACGCATGGAAACATCCCTTTTATATTCTCCCCAAAAGCCATCATAATATCAATCTCTGTCACCAGACTGACCTTAACACGGAGCTCCCTCATGGGTTGAGGCATGAGCAGACCCCTAACTTGTGTGACGATGGGCCCCTCTGTGCCAGGAACAACAATTAAGTCACCTTCTTTTAGCTTTCCATTGACCAAAATCACATCAACTGTTGTGCCCAAACCATGGAGTGCTTTCACCTGTTAAAACAGAAGACAAAACATTTTTTTACAGCTGACAAATGAGAATCTGATTTATTGAAGAACTTAATCATCATCCATCAATAAATCTTCTTGGCAAATCCTCCTCTCACCTAATAATTTCAAAAAGCATAAGACCCAAGATGATGAGGTCTTGTCCTGAAGCAAACATTGACATGAGCGTAGTAAGTTATATCACAGCACCTAGGTGCCAATAAGGAGTTGACATTGTACAGAGGTGACTATCTAAGTTTCACTGTACAGAATTCACTGTACCAAGGTGTCACTGAACAGAATTCACTGTACCAAGGTGTCACTATATGGAGGGCCACTGTACAGAAGTCACTGTACCAAGGTGTCACTATATGGAGGGCCACTGTACAGAATTTACTGTACCAAGGTGTCAATATATGGAAGGTCACTGTACAGAGGTGATTGTACCAATGTATCATTATATGGAGGTGTCACTGTACAGAGGTGATTGTACCAATGTATCATTATATGGAGGGTCACTGTATAGAGGTGACTGTACCAAGGTGTCATTATATGGAGGGTCACTGTACAGAGGTGATTGTACCAAGGTGTCATTATATGGAGGGTCACTGTACAGAGGTGATTGTACCAAGGTGTCAATATATGGAGGTGTCACTGTACAGAGGTGATTGTACCAAGGTGTCATTATATGGAGGTGTCACTGTACAGAGGTGATCGTGCCAAGGAGTCAATATATGGAGGGTCGCTGTACAGAGGTGATTGTACCAAGGTGTCAATATATGGAGGGTCACTGTAAAGAGGTGATCGTGCCAAGGTGTCACTAACCTGGTGTCATTATATGGAGTTGTATCAAACTATGTCAAACCATTTTAATCCTACATTAGAGAAGAACGAAATGACAGATAATAGTCTCCAGGTGATTGTAGTCTATACACGTCATGAATCAGCACACTGTTTACTCTCTAGAAAATGAGCTGGACATTTATTGGAAATGTAATTTTCTCGGATTTCCTAAAGCTCTAAAACATACATGATATATAACACTGATTAAATTTCAGGATCATGGCCTAAATGAGACCTCTATATCTGTGCCCCATCTAGCTCCTCCCTCAACAGAAATCCCAGACCCCCTGTAAAGATTGAAGCCTAATTTGAAGACTATTGTTAACACATGTGTTTTAAACATAAACCACTCTCAGGATTCATGACTTTATTACATGTATTCTGTTACTTGTCTCATTTTGCCCCGAGAGTGAAATTTTAAACCAAAACAGAAGAAAACTTAGAAACAGCTGTTTCCGAGGTAAAATGCCTTCTAGACATATATACAGTATACAAAATTAATAGAAAAAAAAACCCAAATTGTTAGTGATAGACAATGGGGGTCTCTAAACCGGACAGTTGATAAGGTGGGTGAACGTGGTCTTTATGGACAGGCTAAGAGGCAAGAATTGACTTCTTTAAGACTATCTTAAAATTTTTTATGGACAGGTATGGTGTGGTGAGCAGAAGAATTATTTCAGGGCAGGTTGATAAATTCAACACAATCTTTGTGGACAGGTTGATAAATACAAAAAACTCTGTGGACAGGTTTCAGGGCAGGTTGATAAATACAAAAAACTCCGTGGACAGGTTTCAGGGCAGGTTGATAAATCCGAAACAATCTCTGTGGACAGGTTGATAAATCTAAAAAATCTCTGTGGACAGGTTGATAAATCCAAAACAATCTCTGTGGACAGGTTTCAGGACAGGACAGGACAAAAAAAAGCAATAGATAGTATTTCTCTCCTGCTCTGGACTTTGATTTCAAACCAAAGTTCTGATCTATTATTAGAAACATTGAATATTTTATTTAGCATTGAGGATAAAATCTGAAAAGGCTAAATAGTGGTCTCTCCAGTATCTGGGGAAGACAAAACAGGCTCTTAAAGGCAATATTTCAGCAATATCAATGTCAATGTTATATCTCAGTGTTTCTCACTCAAATAAACAGTGTGTTATATCTCAGTGTTTCTCACTCAAATAAACAGTGTGTTATATCTCAGTGTTTCTCACTCAAATAAACAGTGTGTTATATCTCAGTGTTTCTCACTCAAATAAACAGTGTGTTATATCAGTGTGTTATATCAGTGTTTCTCACTCAAATAAACAGTGTGTTATATCTCAGTGTTTCTCACTCAAATAAACAGTGTGTTATATCTCAGTGTTTCTCACTCAAATAAACAGTGTTATATCTCAGTGTTTCTCACTCAAATAAACAGTGTGTTATATCTCAGTGTTTCTCACTCAAATAAACAGTGTGTTATATCTCAGTGTTTCTCACTCAAATAAACAGTGTGTTATATCTCAGTGTTTCTCACTCAAATAAACAGTGTGTTATATCTCAGTGTTTCTCACTCAAATAAACAGTGTTATATCTCAGTGTTTCTCACTCAAATAAACAGTGTTATATCTCAGTGTTTCTCACTCAAATAAACAGTGTGTTATATCTCAGTGTATCTCACTCAAATAAAGTGTGTTATATCTCGGTGTTTCTCACTCAAATAAACAGTGTTATATCTCAGTGTTTCTCACTCAAATAAACAGAGTTTAACTATACAGTATCCTGGCTGGTGATAAGACCACAAATTGAAGACTTTTGCCAAATAATCCTATTACATATTGCAGCGCAATGATATGACCTTATGACCTCACACCTGAAACCAAGGTTTCCTGTAGCCGAGTCTATTTCTCGTTGTAGAAGTCAGTTACACTCTATTGGGGTATCCTGTCTGACTGGACAGGTTTTTATTTCAGCTGTAATACTGAAACAGGTATCACCCCGGAGCAAATGATACCTTTAATTTGTTTTATAAAAGTCATCATAATCACAGGTTTTCAGAACAAGTCTATGCCATACTGATGTTTAAAATGCTCACACACCACAAGTACAGGGATGGTCAGACACAAGATTATCAAGATTTTAGTTTATTTAACCAAATTTCATTTTTTGTCTACAATTCTTCTGACCCAACCACTATTATTAAAGTAAAAATGAATTTGATATGTAAAGTCCATGGGGAGGGGTCCATGGGGATGGGGAAGGGTTCATGGGGAGGGGTCCATGGGGATGGGGAGGGGTCCATGGGAATGGATGAGGGGGGAAGGTCCATGGGGAGGGGTCCATGAGGGGGAGGGGTCCATGGGGAGGATCCATGGGGATGGGAGGGGTCCATGGGGAGGATGGGGAGGGGTCCATGGGGATGGGGAGGAGTCCATGGGGAGGATGGGGAGGGGTCCATGGGGAGGATGGGGAGGGGTCCATGGGAAGGATGGGGAGGGGTCCATGGGGAGGATGGGGAGGGGTCCATGGGGATGGGGAGGGGTCCATGGGGAGGGGGATGGGTCCATGGGGATGGGGAGGGGTCCATGGGGAGGATGGGGAGGGGTCCATGGGGAGGATGGGGAGGGGTCTATGGGGAGGATGGGGAGGGGTCCATGGGGATGGGGAGGAGTCCATGGGGAGGATGGGGAGGGGTCCATGGGGAGGGAGGAGAAACTGTTTCTTTTCCTCACACTTAGATATACATATGTACATTCCATCATTACATTGTATTGCTACTTTACCATCACTGATGACAAAAAAAAATTTCTACAATCATCAAATACCCTCTAGATTGACACCAGTACATCATCTGGCTAGCATATATTCATATAATATTTTTGCCAGAGATCACAAAATCATGTCTATATATCGGACATATCGTCCTCATATTTGCTTTTGAATTCATTTACTGCCAAACTGACATTATTGTTTTAAAACTTCCTTTCAATCTAGGTGAAGGTCAAATTCATTTGTTCTTTGTTCAGACTTTCTTTCAATTTAGGTGAAGGTCACTTCGAAATTACAGAAAGGGTACAGCCACCTAATACACTGAACATATTCTTTGAGTGAAGCATATCGTCTTCCTTTTGAAGATTAACATTAATAAATCAAGCCTAATTGTAGGACATTTAGTTTAATATTGAATTTAATCTCAACATTGGTGATAGGATTGTTATAAATTCTTCAAATTCATGAATAAATCATAAATATTATAATAATTCAACAATGAAAAAAAAAGAAATAAAGCATTTTACTAAATTCCAGAAAAACTATATCACAGCTAACACTAAACAAGTGAAATGCCAAATATTTGGACTGATGGGAAACTCTTAAATATCAACAACTATTTGGATATCAATATTTAGAAACATCTAAAGCAGTTTTTAAAAATTCTGGTAGAAAGTGCATTAGATTTTATAATTAACTCTTCTCATCAGCGGACAACAGCTCTGAGAATCTGGCTAGGAGATTGGGAGTCTACATCAATACTGGGAACATTAATTTCCTGCCAATGTTTGAATAGGTTTCCTACGTCAGTACAAACAGAACGCTTTGTTTGGAAGTTCAGCTCTGTAGGTGATCAATGCTACATCATAACACTGTGTGGTTAATTGTAAAACAGGAGCTGGCACACTCTCCACAGTTCATTGATGAAGGTGCATGAATGGAGGCGTGTTCCTTGCCAACTGGCACACAGCCCAGTAAAACCCCTAGCTACCAGGTATATAGGTACAGTACCAATCCAGACAACTTTCTATGGGTGACAGCGAACCATACAGCCAAGGGAAAAAATAGGATGCAACTTATGTGACACTTTGGTCAAATTTTGCACAGAAGATGTGTTATCAAAGAACTAAAATACCTGGAAATATTGCAGAAAAACTCTTCCATCAACATAATCTCAGAGCTATTGTTAGAATTATCACTAACCATCCATCAGCACAGTCTCTAAGCCTTTGTCAGTGTATTGTTTGTCTGTGTAATTTCCAAGTTTCTGTCAGTGAAAGTTTTAAGCTTCTGTCAGTATTATTCTTTTTAATTTCTTCAGTGTAAAATTTGCCATCAGCACAGTCTCTCAGCTGCTGTCAGTATAGTCTCTCAGCTGTAATCAGCACAGTCTCTAAGCTGTAATCAGCACAGT